TAAATAATAATTATTTAGATGCGATGCGAACTGTATATAAAACTCACCCGTTTTTATCTGCATTCTCTCCTTTCGTCTTTATCTCTCGCTCTGGTGAGGTAGGTGATAAAAAGTAAGGAAAAGAAAGGAAATCAAGATGGGATCTTCTTTCCACTATTTGTTGACCGATAATTGGATGAAAAACCGGGCACGATTCAACGAGGTGGAACCAAGTAATTATTACTCTTCGTTGATTTCTTTTGAAAACACTCTCAAAACACTGATTTTGATAAAATTGTGGGGAAAAAGCCTTCCACTCTCGTCTTTTCAACGTGCGATTGCGATATATATTTTTTCACTTTTTTCACACAAAATTTTCATGCCTGTTGCCTTGTTTTTTTTTTTATTTAAAGGGTAAAGCCTGGTCTACACAACATTAAAGCCTGCGCTTCCACCTTCCACAACATTTAAAAAGCTTTGGAGGTGAACAAGATGTGAATTTTTGACAAATTATAACAAATTGGCAAAACGTCACGAACATAAATGCCTGCAAAACACTTCACTTCACATATGTAGATTTGAATTAGAAATTGTGCTATAATTAAGAATCTGTTTTTTTTTTCATGTATACACACTCGAGAAGGTTTAAAGACAATTTTTAAAATTTGTTCATTTCAAAAGCCTGGGAAGCTACCCAAAAGTACATTCTAACCATAAGATTCTTTTATTATTAGTCAGTGGGCTATGAAGATTCCTGCACTGACGCCTGTCGGATATAATTCAATGTCCTTCGTGGTATTAGCCAGTGGAGTAGTTGTTTTCTGATAGGCGTCACTCCATTTAGTCTACTATGTAGGTATATCCGAGACTGGCTTGAAAGTTTAAAGTTCATTTCTTTAGATTCTTTTAGACAGTAACCAACTAATCTCCTTAGAAAAAAAAGATGTGCTCCACTTACTTTTTGTACAAATTGCTGCAAATTTGTACAAATTTATCTCAACTAAATTTCAGGGTAGCTAAATTTCACTCACATTGAAGTCTTCAAAAAAAAATCAATGTGTGACATGTACATTGTACATCTTGATTTGTAGTCATTCAAAATTGCTCACTTATTCAACTAAAAAAAAATGGACTCAAAGTTTCCAAAGTTTTATTCATTATTTTTTTAAGTTTTTACGGATTATGTCCTATATTATTGTTATCATTATCACTATTACCACTTCATTAATTTATTGTACTGATTATTTTTGTTCTGTTAACGTATGAATTCTGTTGGGCAAGAAACAATAAACTGTCTTCCGATTTCAGGTGGCAGAGCGGGCTCTGTACTTCTGGAACAACGAGTACATAATGTCGCTCTTGGAGGAAAACAACCACGTGATCATGCCGATAATGTTCCCGGCCCTCTACCGAATTTCCAAGGAGCACTGGAACCAGACTATCGTTGCTCTCGTATACAACGTGCTCAAGACCTTCATGGAGATGAACTCGAAGCTCTTTGACGAACTAACCGTCAGCTATAAGGCGGAGAGACAAAAGTAGGTCTTGGCCAGATTCGAGACTCATAATTGCAAACCATTGTTTTTTTTTCTTGCAGGGAAAAGAAGCGTGAGAAAGAACGAGACGAGCTGTGGAAGAGGCTCGCCGAGCTTGAAATCTCCCACAAATCCACACCAGCACAACATAACAACAGCCCTTCCAGCAAAAAGTGATAACATAATAACAGCCTAATGTTCCCCGCCCGTCTCTCTGTGTCGGTAAGTTTCCAGTTCAACAACTACCTGCTATATTGCAAGAAAATGTACAGGTTTTTTGTGATGTGGTCTCTTTTTTCTGCAACATGATTTAGTTTTTGTCATTTGTCATTTTTTATGTCATTTTGCATACATTTTGAAGTGATCCTAATCTAGTTTTTGTATGTTTCTTTTCTCTTAGAAAAACTAAGCAAATTGCAGTTTTATAGCTTTCCTTAAAATATTCCCTACTTTCAAGGAATTTCAACACATTTGAAACAGTTTTATTTACTGTAGCATTCACTTACGGTACCTAAACATATAGAAATGCAAAAAAAGTTGTCTTTATTGAAATATTATCAGAACATTCTAATCAGCAATCACATTTTTCTTTTGCCATCTTTTTGTCCATTTAAAATTGTGATCAATACCCAGTCGCTAGTTAATTAATAAACACTCATTACAGTTTTGACTAAACTGTTAGTTACAGGGTGTTGTATGTTTGGAAAACTCTGAATTTTGCAAAGAGAAAAAGAGATTTCAAAATTTATATGAAATTCTAAATAAATTTTATCAATATTGAGTAGTGGTTATTGAGTGAGTGAGATATTCACAATATTTGAATAAATGGCGAATTTTCACAAACAAGTATTCTTTGGAAAACTATTTTTGTGAAAGAGTAACTATTTCTTGATTTTTTCAAGTGTAGTAAAAGTCAAACAAAAAAGTTTTTGCGTATATAAGTGTCTGAAGAGTCTAATTAGTCAGTAACTTTTTGCTCAGTAAATGGCATTTGTGTTTTGTTTTCATATATAGTCAGTGGGCATACTTGAAGACTGGTTATAAATCAAATTAACTAAAAGAACAATTCGTTCAGGCCAGTCTCATCTCCCTACACAGTAGGTTAATGAACTGACACCTCTCAGAAAACAACTACTCCCCTGGCTAATATCACGAAGGGCGTTGGATTATATCCGACAGGTGTCAGTGCAGGATTCTTCACAGAAGTTAGGGAATTGAGACTGGCCTGAACGAATTGCTCTTAGATAATTTATGTGAAAGTTTTCTTTCCTTATACGAGGAATTGGGCAAATTTCGGATATGCAGTTGGTTACTTCATTCACAGGCAGATGGGGCGACGACAAAC